ATTGCAACTCCAAATTTCGACTTACCTAAACTCAAAATTTCGAGTTGTTGCACCTCCAAATTTCGAGTTACCTAAACTAAAACTTTCGAGTTATTGCAACTCAAAACTTCGAGTTATGTCACTTCCAAATTTATAGTTATTGCAACTCAAAATTTCAAGTTACATAAACTCAAAATTTCGAGTTACCTAAACTCAAAATTTCGAGTTACTTAAATTCAAAATTTAGAGTTATTGCAACTCAAAATTTCGAGTTACCTAAACCCTAGAATATTGAGTTATTGCAACTCAAAATTTCGAGTTACCGCAACTCACAATTTCGACTTACCTAAACTCAAAATTTTGACTTACCTAAACTCAGAACTTTTGAGTTATTGCAACTCAAAATTTCGAGTTATTGCAATTCAAAATTTCGAGTTGCCTCAAATCAAAATTTCGAGTTATTCCAACTTAAAATTTCGAGTTACTTTAACTCAGAATTTCCAGTTACCTAAACTCAAAATTTCGAGTTATTGCAACTCAAAATGTCGAGTTACCTAATCTGAAAATTTCGAGTTCCCTAAACTCAAAATTTCGAGTTCCTAAACTCAAAATTTCAAGTTATTAAAATTCAAAATTTAGAGTTATTGCAAATCAAAATTTCGAGTTACTGTAACTCAAAATTTCGACTTACCTAAACTCAACATTTCGACTTACCTAAACTGAGAATTTTTAGTTATTGCAACTCAAAATTTCGAGTTACTTCAACTCAAAATTTCGAGTTATCTGAACTCAAAATTTCGAGTTCTTGCAACTCAAAATTTCGAGTTGCGGTAACTCAAAATTTCGAGTTATTGCAACTCAAAATTTCGAGTTGCCGAATCTCAAAATTTCGAATCATTGTAATTCAAAACTTCGAGTTACCCAAACTCAAAATTTCGACTCACCTAAACTCAGAATTTTGAGTTATTGCAACTCAAAATTTCAAGTTACCGAAAGTCAAAATTTTGAGTGATTGCAACTCAAAATTTCGAGTTGCCGAAACTCTAAATTTCCAGTTATTGCAACTCAAAATTTCTAGTTACCTAAATTCAAAATTTCCAGTTACCTAAACTCAAAATTTCGAGTTACCTAAACTCCAAATTTCGAGTTACCTAAACTCAAAATTTCGAGTTTCCTCAACTCAACATTTCAAGTTATTGCAACTCAAAATTTCTCGTTACCTAAACTCAAAATTTCGAGTTTCCTCAACTCAAAATTTCAAGTTATTGAAACTCAAAATTTCGAGTTACCTAAACTGAAAATTTTGAGTTATTGCACCTCCAAATTTGGAGTTATTGTAACTCCAAATTTCGAGTTACCTAAACTCAAACTTTCGAGTTATTGCAACTCAAAACTTCGAGTTATGGCACTTCCAAATTTCGAGTTCTTGCAACTCAAAATTTCAAGTTACCTAAACTCAGAATTTCGAGTTCCCTAAATTCAAAATTTTGAGTTACCAAAACTCAAAATTTCGAGTTACTGCAACTCAAAAGTTCGAGTTATCTAAGCTCAAATTTTCGAGTTACCTAAACTCAAAATTTCGAGTTACTTAAATTCAAAATTTCGAGTTATTGCAACTCAAAATTTCAAGTTACTTCAATTCAAAATTTCGAGTTACCTAAACTCAAAATTTCGAGTTATTGCAACTCAAAATTTCGAGTTGCCGAAACTCAAAATTTCGAGTTACTTAAATTCAAAATTTCGAGTTATTGCAAGTCAAAATTTCAAGTTACTTCAATTCAAAACTTCGAGTTACCTAAACTCAGAATTTTGAGTTATTGCAACGCAAAATTTCAAGTTACTTCAATTCAAAATTTCGAGTTATTGCAACTCAAAATTTTGAATTTAGGTAACTCGAACTTTTGAGTTGCAATAACTCGAAATTTTGAGTTTTGGGAACTCAAAATTTTGAGTTACCTAAACTCAGAATTTTGAGTTATTGCAACTCAAAATTTTGAGTTACCTAAACTCAAAATTTCGAGTTACCTAAACTCAAAATTTCGATTTACCTGAACTCTGAATTTTGAGTTATTGCAACTCAAAAGTTCGAGTTACCTAAATTCAAAATTTCGAGTTATTGCAACTCAAAATTTCGAGTTGCCGAAACTCAAAATTTCGAATTATTGCAACTCAAAATTTCCAGTTGCCGAAACTCAAAATTTCGACTTACCCAAACCCTGAATTTTGAGTTATTGCAGCTCAAAATTTCTAGTTACCTAAACTCAAAATTTCGAGTTATTGCAACTCAAAATTTTGAGTTGCCGAAACTCAAACTTTCGAGTTACCTAAACTCAAAATTTCGAGTTACTTAAATTCAAAATTTCGAGTTATTGCAACTCAAAATTTCGAGTTATTGCAACTCAAAATTTCGACTTACCTAAACTTAAAATTTCATGTTTTGCAACTCCAAATTTCGACTTACCTAAGCTCAAAATTTCGAGTTAACTAAACTCAGAATTTTGAGCTCGTGCAACTCAAATTTTCGAGTTACAGCAACTCAAAATTTCAAGTTACCTAAACTCAAAATTTCGAGTCACCTAAACTCAGAATTTTGAGTTATTGCAACTCAAAATTTCGAATTCCCTCAACTCAAAATTTTGAGTTACCACAACTCAAAATTTCGAGTTTCTGCAACTCAAAATTTTGAGTTTCCGCAACTCAAAATTTCGAGTCGTCTACTCTCACAACATAATCGAAACGTTCAAGTTCGGAAAACTCGAAATTTTGAGTTGCGGTAACTCAAAGCTTTTGAGTTGCGGTAACTCCAAGCATTTGAGTAATTCCATCAAAAAATATAAGTTGGATATAATCGAAACATTGAAGTTCATAGAACTACAACTTTTGAATTCATCAACTCAATTATGTATTCCGATATAATATTACACACACATATTGTATTAAAGGCTCAGAGACATTGATATCGTGGAGTATTGTAAGTTATAATTTGCCTTGTGTTACCATGCTACCTCCTCTTGTGCGATTGTTAAACTGCATGTGATGACGCTGCCTTCCCTTCGCATGCGCAGTTTAGTGGTCAGGATGAGCGCTCAGGTTCGTGGAGTCGTGGTGTCCTCGCACACGGTCGTTCGATTAAGTTCATAAATTGGCAGAGTTCATGACCAAAAAACTCTGCACTTCTGCCTTCCCACCATCTGCACTTCTGCCTTCCCACCATCTGCACATCTGCATCCATACCCCTGCCCTCTGCATCTGCATTTCTGTACCTTCTACCACCTATTAAAAGCCTTACCTCAAGATCCCTGCCTCCTGTATTCTGACCAATACACCATCCTGTACCCTATAAAACCCCAAACTGATCCAGTTTGATTATCCTCCCCAACACATATATATATATATATATATATATATATACACATACATGATTGCAACCTTTAGTGTCTTATATATATATATATATAATATGCCTATGAGATGCACGCGCATCCTCCAATGTTTGTAAACATGAAACTGGTCTATAATATTTACTACCGGTAATTTATTTTTGTATCTCTTCTCATTAGGTTCAGCAGCTTTTGTCCTCCATGGCTTGTTGAAGCCTTGATACTTCCTGGTCCTTCTTCCCGATGGACAACGTTTGTCGTACAGTGAAGTGAAAAGTGACGAAAAAATTGCTTGCTTGGTGAGATTTGGATCTTCATTTGAATACGTAAATCTCAAACCAGTTTAGATTTTTCTTAAGCCATCTTTAAGACAGCAAGAGCACGTTGTGTTCCAGGTCTCAATGTATTCATTCAGTTAAATGTTGGTTGTTGATACCAAGCCTTGGTAAGGTCATGCGAAATCAACGTGTGAGGACACTGCCACTTTCCACTGATATCTGACCGCTTTTGTTGCCTTTTTCTGACAAGAATAAGCGGCCAGACGGTGCACCAGCCGGAACGGGACATCCATAGAGGGTGCTGCAGTCACGCTGCGCTGCAGCTGTGGCTCATGGATGAGCAACAACCAGGCACGGCGCTCGGCATACACTAATCACACACTGCGCAACGCGCACCAACAGCCTGCAGGGAGCACCAAAAAAAAAAAAATCAAGCGCGTAAAAAATGATTACAATTGGAATAATAATAATAACAGTGTATCATATGTATAAGAAAGGCTTGTAAAGCATGTTAATAAATATATGTAATACAGTGGCGTTCCGTCAGGGCCAGCAAGGCCTTCTCTGCTGGCCTAAACATTCTCAGAATAACATAAATTTAATTTGTTATTTTATTTTCATAAATATGTTAACAAAATTATTCTCTGTATTCTTTACGTCATATTATTTCCACTTAGTCGAGGTCCTTTCAATGTTATTTTAAATAACATTGAAAGGACCATGTTATTTTAAAGAACATTGAAAGCCACTCGATAACTTATTTATTATGGTAGAGTTTTTAACCAATCATATTTCAGCTAGCTTGTGTTGCCAGGTAAATTAAACTTGCTCGGGGCCTTCAGATTAAACAGAGCAGGCCCCTGTGCGCTGTAAGTGAACGGGCACAGTCAGGTTGCAATAGCCAATCAGATCACGAGTAGACTCGTCTGCGTACTAGAGCCAGCTAGAAGGCCTTACGTCGAGACTGGCCGGTGCGCGTTCAGTGATTGGATTAGCGCCTTTTCTGTTTACTGAGAATTGTATCCTGACTTGTTCAATAAAGATTCTTTAAAAAAAAAAAAAAAAAAAATTGGATTAGCGCCTGAGAGAGCTATCACTGCATTTTCACCCAAAATGGCCGAAGGAGAAGACGTTGATCTGGTTGCAGAACTACTTTCCACACCGTTTTCAAGACGGGCCTTCCAGGAAAAGCTGGATATTGTGCGAAGAGGTCGCCCAACTCCTGCGCTAGCTAGCCTGTCCCAGCAAGGAAAAGGGTTTGTCCGTCATTTTCAGACGAGCAATTATGAACGGTACCCATGGCTCACAGCCTCTGAGAAACGCTGCAAATTGTACTGCTGGGAATGCCTATTGCTTGCAACTGACCGATTTGGTGTTTGGAGCCACACTGGATTTACCAATTTAAGTTGTTTTACCAAAGCAGCAAGGAAACGTCAGAGCACGGCTGGTCACTTACAAGCTGCGGTGCGTTTCAAAACGTTTGGGGACACTCAAGTAGATCTGCAGCTCAGTAAACAGGCACTACATTGGTGAGTAAATGAATTTTATTTTATATTTCTTCTTGTCATTTTATTTCGTTCGTATTAAATTAATGGTTACGAAATAAAATGGCAAAGACACAAAAATGTATCAAATAAATCTGCT